AGTATGGGGTGCACAATACCGCAACAGCATGAGTATGGGTGCACAATACCGCCCACAGCATGAGTATGGGTGCACAATACCGCCCACAGGATGAGTATGGGGTGCACAATACCACCCACAGCATGAGTATGGGGGTGCACAATACCGCCCACAGCATGAGTATGGGGTGCACAATACCACCCACAGCATGAGTATGGGGTGCACAATACCGCTCACAGCATGAGTATGGGGTGCACAATACCGCCCACAGCATGAGTATGGGGTACACAATACCGCCCACAGCATGAGTATAGGGTGCACAATACCGCTCACAGCATGAGTATGAGGTGCACAATACCACCCACAGCATAAGTATGGAGTGCACAATACCCTCACAGCATGAGTATTGGTGCACAATACCCTCACAGCATGAGTATGGGGTGCACACTACCACCCACAGCATGAGTATAGGTGCACAATACCGCCCACAGCATGAGTATGGGTGCACAATACCCTCACAGCATGAGTATGGGAGCACAATACCACCCACAGCATGAGTATGGGGGTGCACAATACCGCCCACAGCATGAGTATGGGTGCACAATACCCTCACAGCATGAGTATGGGTGCACAATACCACCCACAGCATGAGTATGGGTGCACAATACCACCCACAGCAAGAGTATGGGTGCACAATACCACCCCACAGCATGAGTATGGGGTGCACAATATCACCCACAGCATGAGTATGGGGTGCACAATACCACCCCACAGCATGAGTATGGGGTGCACAATACGACCCACAGCATGAGTATGGGGGGTGCACAATACCACCCCACAGCATGAGTATGGGGTGAACAATACCCCCCACAGCATGAGTATGGGGTGCACAATACCGCAACAGCATGAGTATGGGTGCACAATACCGCCTCACAGCATGAGTTTGGGGTGCACAATACCACCCACAGCATGAGTATTGGGTGCACAATACCGCCCACAGCATGATTATGGGTGCACAATACCCCCTCACAGCATGAGTATGGGGTGCACAATACCCTCACAGCATGAGTATGGGGTGCACAATACCCTCTCACAGCATGAATATGGGGTGCACAATACCCCCTCACAGCATGAGTATGGGGTGCACAATACCGCTCACAGCATGAGTATGGGTGCACAATACCACCCACAGAATGAGTATGGGTGCACAATACCACCCACAGCATGAGTATGGGGTGCACAATACCACCCCACAGCATGAGTATGGGTGTACAATACCCCTCACAGCATGAGTATGGGGTGCACAATACCGCCCACAGCATGAGTATGGGTGCACAATACGCCTCACAGCATGAGTATGGGGTGCACAATACCGCCCACAGCATGAGTATGGGTGCACAATACCACCCACAGCATGAGTATGGGTGCACAATACCACCCACAGCATGAGTATGGGTGCACAATACCACCCCACAGCATGAGTATGGGGTGCACAATACCACCCACAGCATGAGTATGGGGTGCACAATACCACCCCACAGCATGAGTATGGGGTGCACAATACCACCCACAGCATGAGTATGGGGGTGCACAATACCACCCCACAGCATGAGTATGGGGTGCACAATACCCCCCACAGCATGAGTATGGGGTGCACAATACCGCAACAGCATGAGTATGGGTGCACAATACCGCCTCACAGCATGAGTATGGGGTGCACAATACCACCCACAGCATGAGTATGGGGTGCACAATACCGCCCACAGCATGAGTATGGGGTGCACAATACCGCCCACAGCATGATTATGGGTGCACAATACCCCCTTGCAGCATGAGTATGGGGTGCACAATACCCTCACAGCATGAGTATGGGGTGCACAATACCCTCACAGCATGAGTATTGGTGCACAATACCACCCACAGAATGAGTATGGGTGCACAATACCGCCCACAGCATGAGTATGGGTGCACAATACCCCTCACAGCATGAGTATGGGTGCACAATACCCCTCACAGCATGAGTATGGGTGCACAATACCTCTCACCCTCTCACAGCATGAGTATGGGTGCACAATACCCCTCACAGCATGAGTATGGGTGCACAATACCCCTCACAGCATGAGTATGGGTGCACAGCATGAGTATGGGTGCACAATACCCCTCACAGCATGAGTATGGGTGCACAATACCCCTCACAGCATGAGTATGGGTGCAGCATGAGTATGGGTGCACCCCTCACAGCATGAGTATGGGTGCACAATACCCCTCACAGCATGAGTATGGGTGCACACTACCACCCTCAGCATGAGTATGGGTGCACAATACCACCCACAGCATGAGTATGGGGTGCACAATACCCCTCACAGCATGAGTATGGGTGCACAATACCCCTCACAGCATGAGTATGGGTGCACAATACCCCTCACAGCATGAGTATGGGTGCACAATACCCCTCACAGCATGAGTATGGGTGCACACTACCACCCTCAGCATGAGTATGGGTGCACAATACTGCTCATGCCATAGGGAAATAGGCCAGGAATCATTGCATTACAAAACTAGTGGCTAGAAATGCCGGGTCCAAGAGCTAAAACCCGACCCTGAAGGCACAAAAAGCTCGTGGCTGAGTGGACAGCGCTCGCGGGCGTGTGTCGCACACACCTTAGCTCCTGGGCCCCAGCCCTTCAGGTGTGTGAGATAACACTCATTCATCTCCCTCATAAACTCCTCCAAACGTGAAAATGTTCATTGAGAACAAAATAACACGTGTGTTAATGTCCCAGAACACATGTGTGTCACGGGGGAGGAAACACCTGTTAACACACATACACACACCTGTTTCCTGGATTTAAGGGAGGTTACAGGTGTGGATATTATATATGTTGGCCACCCTGACCAAACCTGTCACTGCTCAGACACTGACAGCTGGAGAGTGAACATGCAGGTCTCTCACTGCTAACTACTTCACTAACTACCATTCACAGCTAACTACTTCACTAACTACCACTCACAGCTAACTACTTCACTAACTACCATTCACAGCTAACTACTTCACTAACTACCATTCACAGCTAACTACTTCACTAACTACCACTCACAGCTAACTACTTCACTAACTACCACTCACAGCTAACTACTTCACTAACTACTCACACTCACCCCTAACTACCCACTAACTACCCACTAACACCCTAACTACCACTCACTGCTACAACTACCACTAACTACCCACAGCTAACTACTTCACTAACTACCCACAGACTACCCCCCTAACTACCTACAGACTACCCCACTAACTACCCACAGACTACCACCCTAACTACCTACAGACTACCACCCTAACTACCCACAGACTACTTCACTAACTACCCACAAACTACCTCACTAACTACCCACAGACTACCACCCTAACTACCTACAGACTACCACCCTAACTACCCACAGACTACTTCACTAACTACGCACAAACTACCTCACTAACTACCCACAGACTACCACCCTAACTACCTACAGACTACCACCCTAACTACCCACAGACTACTTCACTAACTACCCACAGACTACCCCCCTAACTACCCACAGACTACCACCCTAACTACCCACAGACTACCACCCTAACTACCCACAGACTACCTCACTAACTACCCACAGACTACCACCCTAACTACCCACAAACTACCTCACTAACTACCCACAGACTACCACCCTAACTACCCACAGACTACCCCCCTAACTACCCACAGACTACCTCACTAACTACCCACAGACTACCCCCTAACTACCCACAGACTACCCCCCTAACTACCCACAGACTTCCTCACTAACTACCCACAGACTACCCCCTAACTACCCACAGACTACCCCCCTAACTACCCACAGACTACCCCCCTAACTACCCACAGACTACTTCACTAACTACCCACAGACTACCCCCCTAACTACCCACAGGCTACTTCACTAACTACCCACAGACTACCCCCCTAACTACCCACAGACTACCACACTAACTACCCACAGACTACCCCCCTAACTACCCACAAACTACCTCACTAACTACCCACAGACTACCACCCTAACTACCCACAGACTACCCCCCTAACTACCCACAGACTACCTCACTAACTACCCACAGACTACCCCCTAACTACCCACAGACTACCCCCCTAACTACCCACAGACTACCCCCCTAACTACCCACAGGCTACTTCACTAACTACCCACAGACTACTTCACTAACTACGCACAGACTACCCCCCTAACTACCCACAGGCTACTTCACTAACTACCCACAGACTACTTCACTAACTACGCACAGACTACCCCCCTAACTACCCACAGACTACCCCCCTAACTACCCACAGGCTACTTCACTAACTACCCACAGACTACTTCACTAACTACCCCCTAACTACCCACAGACTACCACACTACCTCACCTCAGAGCCAGACTACCGCCCTAACTACCACACTACCTCACCTCAGGGCGAGACTACCCCCCTAACTACCCACAGACTACCCCCCTAACTACCCACAGACTACCACACTAACTACCCACAGACTACCACACTACCTCACCTCAGAGCCAGACTACCCCCCTAACTACCCACAGACTACCCCCCTAACTACCCACAGACTACCACACTACCTCACCTCAGAGCCAGACTACCCCCCTAACTACCCACAGACTACCCCCCTAACTACCCACAGACTACCCCCCTAACTACCCACAGACTACCACACTACCTCACCTCAGAGCTGGTCAGTAGTGCTGGGAGGAGCACCACAGGAGTAGAGTATCCATTCATGGCGCCACTCCCGTATAACTCACTGGGAGGCAGGTAAACAACACAATACCCGTCAATGTTTACAAACACGCCCAGACGCACGTGGTCGCACTCCATGTAAACAAACATACGCGGTCGCCGCCGCCCACTAGGTGGCGCGGAACACCCGCCCTTGTGTGACGGGTGGTACACACCAGGTGGGGGGCGGGTTAGTACGGTGTACCGTGTACCGTGTACCGTAGAGGGTGTAGCATGGTGGAGGCGGGGTGTAGCGGTTAGGCTACGACGGGCTAGAGAGTGTAGGAGCGTGCGGACCCGGCGCTCGACACACCCAGATGGGAACTGAAGGGTGCATGCGGAGAGTGACCCGCTCCTAGTGTCGATCTGGGGCGGGGATAGGCCAGGGCGGGGCGGGGATAGGGCAGGGCGGGGCGTAGTGGGGTGGTGGGGGGGAGGTCCACACCCCCACCTCTACCTCCCCTATCCCCCCCAGCCGACCAGGAGAGGCAAACAAGATCAGTCAATATATGTGCTTGATACTAACAGGACTATCCTCGCACAGATGGAGCGAGGATAGGAGTGATACAGGTGGGGGGGGGGGGAAACACAGTACTATCCGCCCCCCCCCCCCCCCCACACACCGTGAAGGTGTATCAGTGCTGGTAGAGGTAACTGCCTCTCACTGGTTGGACCAGAGGGCCGCCACACTACCAGGCACCCTAGTACACCCTCCCTCCTCCCCCCCCCCCTGCACTACACACACACATCAGCGGCGTGTACCGAGGCCTATAGTGACGACAGTGACACCATCAGCCTACTGCTAGGTAACACATTCAGTGACGACAGTGACACAACACTATACAGCCCTCACCCTCCTGGAACAACTCTACTTACCCCTCACCATCTTATGAAAAGTTTATTTTTTTTCACATTTATGCTAATATAGGCCTAAGGTAGCCATCCTAGGCCTAATACACCCCTATTCAAGGGGTCTCGGTAGTCCAGGCGGAGTCGTTCTCGGCGCACAGAGAGTTCCGAGGGGTTCGAATCCCGTCCGGGACAGAAATGGTTGGGCACATTTTCAGTCACCTAATGCCTCTGTTCACCTAGCAGTGAGTAGGTCCTCAGGCGTTAGTCAGTTTGTTGTGGGGTGGCATCCCTGGGGCGGGGGGGTGGGGGGGGGCAGTAATTTGACCCTTAGGGGAGGGGAGGATGTCGACATCAGCCTAACGTGCATGAATACACACTGGCTTCCTGTCCCCCCGATACAATATTATAAAATTATGAATTATACACGTTATCTGAGGCCTAACATATTACATATATGTGCTATATTAGGCCTATAGGAATATATAAGCTCGCATTTCAGTTCTGTGCCCAACTACTTGGGCTGGACGGAAGAGTGACGGTCTTGCTTCATGCAGGTCGGCGTTCAATCCCCCGACCGTCCACAAGTGGTTGGGCACCATTCCTTCCCCCCCGTCCCATCCCTAATCCTTATCCTGACCCCTTCCCAGTGCTATATAGTCGTAATGGCTTGGCGCTTTCCCCTTGATAATTCCATTCCCTTCAGTTTTGTGTTCCACTACAAAAGTACAGAAAGTGACTTACTGGAGCCCCGCTACCATGGACTACAGTTACAGCAAGTAACCCCCCCCCACCCCCCTCCTCCCGCCATTTCAGGAGGATGGGGTACATTGTTACATGGTGTGGAGGTCTGGCTTGATGGGGGGGGGTTTAGACGCCGATATTTCGTAACGTGTGGCACTAGGGCCGACCCCGACTGGCCAATGACACTCCCTTACCCCACATGCTTCATGTGTGAAAGTTGGGTGAGGCTAGCCCTTTGTATCTGGCCTCCAACCTCGGACAGACTTCATATATTATTGATATAGACCAAAAGGGGTAACACCCCCCTTTTACCCCCCCCCCGGCAGAGAAAACCTGCACTCCCTTGAACATTATATTGTAGAATGTCCCATATTGACTGACATTCGCCCTCCTGGGTTGAGGTATGCTCTGGTCTGTGGCGCGGGTTCGATTCCCGCACGAGGCAGAAACAAATGGGCAAAGTTTCTTTCACCCTGAATGCCCCTGTTACCTAGCAGTAAATAGGTACCTGGGAGTTAGTCAGCTGTCACGGACTGCTTCCTGGGGGTGGAGGCCTGGTCGAGGACCGGGCCGCGGGGACACTAAAGCCCCGAAATCATCTCAAGATAACCTCAAGAAGATGCTGAACTCTGTAACTATTATATGAGTACTGGAACACTTGATGATATATTGGACTTGTAGCCAAGACTGACCAAGTAACGCATCAGTCATACAATGTTTGTGATGTAACTATAACCTGAGCTTGTGGAGGCATCTTAATCACCCTCAGTGGTTAGGTGCTTAATAAAACATTAGTTACTATAGCGGCTATGTTGTCCTCTCAAAGTACGAGAGACATAAATGTATGTGTGTGTGTTTACTAGTTGTGTTTTTGCGGGGGTTGAGCTTTGCTCTTTCGGCCCGCCTCTCAACTGTCAATCAACTGTTTACTAACTACTTTTTTTTTTTCCACACCACACACACACACCCCTGGAAGCAGCCCGTTACAGCTGACTAACTCCCAGGTACCTATTTACTGCTAGGTAACAGGGGCACTTAGGGTGAAAGAAACTTTGCCCATTTGTTTCTGCCTCGTGCGGGAATCGAACCCGCGCCACAGAATTACGAGTCCTGCGCGCTATCCACCAGGCTATGAGGCCTGTGTATATATGTATGTATGTATGTATGTATGTGTATACAGGGTATGTGGAAGCTGGTTAGAATAGCATTTCACCTTTGTAAACGCACATTGATGACACTATGTAAAAAGACAATGTTTACGTAGGACAGACGTAAATCTGTGTATTTATGTTTGTAAATTAGATTATCATTTTAAAACCACTACAATCACCTTCTGTGGTTGATTGTTCAACACATCCCTGGACAATATGTTTACCAGATCTCTCACCCTGTCCATGGAGCACAGAAGAAAATGTCTATATGCTGGTTAGCATTGTAAATGTCTGGCCACGTCTGTGGTAGAAAATAATAAAAAAAACAATATTAATAATAAAATAATGGGGGCCTGTCCGGGATTAGTTACATATAGTACATAGAGTATTTCCTATTTGTTTGTATTCACTATTTGTGTCTGCAGAATCGAGCTATTAGCTCTTGGACTCCGCCTTTCTAACCAATCTTATATTTCCTCTTTTATATCAACTTCATATATTTCTAACACATACACAAACACACAAGTTGATTGACAGTTGAGAGGCGGGACCAAAGAGCCAAAGCTCAACCTCCGCAAGCACAATTAGGTGAGTACAATTAGGTGAGTACAATTGTAAGTAAGGAGTAACGGTAAGGGGCGTTAGTCAAACTGGCGAACAGTAACGAGTTGAGTACCACAAGGATCGGTGCTGGGACCAATTCTATTTCTAGTATATGTTAACGACCTGTTTACAGGCGTAGAGTCCTACATGTCGATGTTTGCGGATGACGCAAAGTTGATGAGAAGAGTTGTGACAGATGAGGATTGCAGGATCCTCCAAGAGGACCTGAACAGGTTGCAGAGATGGTCAGAGAAATGGCTACTGGAGATCAACACGAGCAAATGTAAAGTTATGGAAATGGAATTAGGTGATAGGAGACCAAAGGGACAGTACACAATGAAGGGGAACAGCCTACCCGTGACTACGCGCGAAAGAGACCTGCGAGTGGATGTAACACCTAATCTAACTCCTGAAGCACATATAAATAGGATAACGACAGCAGCGTACTCTACACTGGCAAAAGTTAGATCTTGATTACTGCTCAGTACTCACTCCCCTTTCAGAGCAGGAGAGATTGCGGAAATTAAGGGAATACAGAGAACATATACGGCACGCATAGACGAGATAAAGCACCTAAATTATTGGGATCGTCTCAAAGCTCTCCAAATGTACTCACTAGAAAGAATGTAACACCCAGGACCTCCCCCCCCTTAGAGTTCACACCCAGGGAAGCCTTCTCCAAGAGGTCAGCCCAGATGACCTCCGGTTTATCTTGTATATTGATTAAAAATTCCTGGGTTAGTCTTAGTCAGCATAGTTTCAAGTATGTAATATTTCATGCAAGGAAATTAGACTCCAGATTCTTATGTGTAAACATCCCTGGATCTCCCCCTTTTGGCCAGGTCAGAGGTCAGTCACACCCGTAATTAATAACTTCTCTCTTGAAGAGTGTATGGTGAATGTCAAACAAGCTTATTGAAATATTTCTTGAGTGTTTGTACACTTTTGGTGGGTAGCAACAGCAGATCTCCCCCTCCCCCCTGTGGGGGGTTGTATATAGAGGGCCTGTAGGAACATAGGAAAGGAGAGGGCGGTACACCGGGATCGAGAACGGGGCTGTGAAGAACATCTCAGCCAGGGAGAGACAGATAGCTTAAGGTAATGTGTGTGATCTCTGAGTCTTTGTTCCATGTCCAAATTTCTTAACTTTTTGCCAGTGTTAGGATAGGATTTATAATTGGTGATTGACATAATTTTGGTCTCAATAAACTTACGTGAAATTTCCCGTCTGTGTCAATTGTTGAATCCTCTTAGCCTTTTGGATATAGTGGCTGACAACCGTTTACAAAATTAATGACAGTCATAGAAAGTACTCTCCAAGTCAAGCAATGTTTCTTGCCTCGTTGCTTGATATAGTTTCAATGGTCAAAGGCAGATGGTGGCAGCGTATTTAATCTCTGTGTTAGCATTTCCTTATTGGCAGTGTACCTTTGGTTCCGGTGTAACCATCATATGTCAGCTCATAACAGTGTTATCAAGTGCAACCGATGAGGAAGTGTTACTCAGGATAGTTTAGTGTTCCATTATAGTGGTGTTCCATGATAGTGGTACATTTTAGGGTGGTGTTACAAGAAGACGAGAGAGATACCAAATAATATACACCTGGAAGATACTGGAGGGCCAAGTACCAAATCTACACAGTAAAATAACAACGTACTGGAGTGAACGATATGGAAGAAAATGCAGAATAGAACCAGTGAAGAGCAGGGGTGCCATAGGCACAATCAGAGAACACAGTATAAACATCAGAGGTCCAGTGAAGAGCAGAGGTGCCATTGGCACAATCAGAGAACACTGTATAAACATCAGAGGTCCAGTGAAGAGCAGAGGTGCCATAGGCACAATCAGAGAACACTGTATAAACATCAGAGGTCCAGTGAAGAGCAGAGGTACCATAGGCACAATCAGAGAACACTGTATAAACATCAGAGGTCCAGTGAAGAGCAGAGGTGCCATAGG